TACCATATGTCTAGATCAAAAATTAAAGCGCCTATTACCTGATAGAAACAAACATATATATCTCTGTTACCCCTTTCTTGCTAATAATTAAAAGACTTACTGAAGCTAAGTAATTTCTAAGTGAACAAAATAAACATTTGTTCTTACTGCTACTCAATACAAAGTGATGGATTACAGTCAGTATGATAAGTAAATGAGGTTGGAAAACAGATAAGGTTGCAATAGTAATTTTTACAAAATTAAAAAAAATTTATTTAAATTGAGCCCTGATATATATATATATATATATATATATATATATATATATATATATATATATATATATATATATATATATATATATATATATATATATATATATATATATATATATATATATATATATATATATATTGGAAAACAGATAAGGTTGGAAAACAGATAAGGTTGCAATAGTAATTTTTACAAAATTAAAAAAAATTTATTTAAATTGAGCCCTGATATATATATATATATATATATATATATATATATATATATATATATATATATATATATATATATATATATATATGCATATTAGGGTGATGCAAAATTTGTATGTTCAAAACTTTAGTTGTCCTCAAGCTTGCCCTTGTTCTATATGACAATAGTAGTTATTGGCCAAAATTTGAATCATATCGGATGATATTTAGGGGTTGCCATGTTTTGTCACATTTTGGTATAAGGTTACAAAAAGTAAAAAAAATATTTTTTATTTTTACATTTTTTATATTATATTACTGAATTATTTATTATCAATTTCTTATTATTATGTGGTGGATTGTGGATGTTCAATGTTAAAAAAATCAATACTATAGTACTACTATGTAATTGCACTAGGCAATAATAAATCAATCATCTTCATCATTCAACAGTCATCTTCATCAGGGTAGACTTTGATGCAACTGGAAATTCCTTCCGGTGAAGATCAACCAATCTAAGAAGAAACTGCTTTTGGTTTTCATCTTTCGTAACGCTTGAGTTAAAGGATGTTATAAGTGCTATGCCTCATTCCGCGCAATCGTTGACGACTTTCATTTGACCAACCTTGTGCTTCATTTCAAGATATGTTGAATCCATTTCCCACTCTGAAGATTCTTTCATTAAAAATGATTCAGCTTTTTCTTTTCCATTTTTCAAAATTAGATCGAAAAGTTCTGCAGTGCGTTGTGTGACAAAGGAAGGCAATGGGCTGTGACAATCGAATGTGGCAGCATCAAGTCTTTTGAGAGATTTCTGCCTTGGCTGTTGTTTCAGGTTGTTTGCCATGTCTCTCTTGGTGTTGTTGTCGACACGGGAATCGAAGAAAGCCAATCCTATTAGATGTTCAGAAAAATACCAGAGGTGGCGATGAAAAGCTTTTGCTGCATTAATTGCAATTGTACGATTTGGATATTCTTGAATCCGTTGAAGAAGCTTGGCATCATTGAATGGTGCTCGTTCAGCTAACGGAGCTTCATTCCAAAACTGTCCGTATACAAATGCCACAAAAAGACTTATATCTGTTATTCCTTTCTTTTCCGTTGCAGTAATAACAAATTGATCCTGAAACAAATATATCTTTATACAATATATAGCTTTTGCCATCCAACGTGCATTGTGTGTTGCACCTGGAGCCCGAAACTTCACTTTGAACTCTGATGTTGTAGTTGATCCTCCAAGAAAAATAAGGCACAAATTCAAGAGTTCTAAGTAATCATCCCTGGGTTGTTGACCTTTAATTGCTTCACTATAATATACTACCATTTCTTCACGGAGTTTGAGAAAAAAATCGTAGTTGTAAAATTCTTTATTCCCTATAGTGAACACCTCCTTGTTGATTGCTGGCCATTGTTTCTGGAAACAGTTAAAAATTCCAATTTCAGGTCCTCCACTGGTTCCAAATGCAGTCGTGAAAATGGTGGAAAGCATGACTTCAAACATATGGTGCCTGCATGCTATCCATATAAGATTACGGTCAAGATTCTGCTCCATTATTGTGCAGGCACTAATGTTCAACCCAGTGTTAGATGAAGTAGTGTCAAAAACCAGTCCCTGAACAAGTTCTTTCAATTTCCAGTCTTTAAGAGCCTTCATGCAAGCATCAGCCTGTTGCTCACCTGTACCTCGATCAATCTTTGGAACGCCCAGCAATTTTTCCACCCCACCACCAGTCACAAGGATGGCAATTCTATCCACTTTTTTTTGACCACCAGTGATATCAGGTAAGAGCTTTCCATCCCAATGCAGAAGAAGTGGATCATCAGGAGAGAAATCAACCTTGTCAGCTGTAGTCACCGTTTCACGAACAGATCGCCTTTTTCTGCGGATTGTGCTGTACGACAATGATAAATCTTTTACCGAGTGACCAAGAGCCTGAGACACTGTTCCAACCACGAAGAGTGCACGGCGATCAGAAATATTAACACGATCAAGAGATGATACAACATTATTTGTTAGAACTTTCATCTTCTTTTTCGTTGAACCACTTGTGCTCAGTGTGCTGGAAGCGGAAGGAGTCTGATATACATCATCATCCGAGGAACTAGAGCTACTTTCACTCACAATGTCAACTGCTGATGAAGAAGAAATGAGTTCTGTTTTTTCCATCAGTTCCGCTTGACTTCTTTGACGCCTCAATTCCATTTTAGTTTCTCGGACTCGTTTCCGTGCCTCCCTAGCTGTTATATTCCGATCAATTCCTGCCATACTACAACTTAATGGATCTTCTTGCTGCTGACATAAAAATGCTTTATCTTCATCGTTTTTCATAACTTCTGATGCATTCTTGGTTGAAATATCAAAAAGTTCTTCAAGGTCAGCGTGGAAAATTCCTTCTTTCATTTGACAGCTGTCCAATTTTGATCCTCGGTGTTTTTTCAGCAGCAGATATTCGTCATAAAGTTTTTTTAACTTTCTTTCCGCATTGTCAATTCTTTGAGTTGGAATTTTTCCTCTCTCCCATATAACAAGAACTGCTTCAATTGTTGTCCGAATACTTTTTTTCACTTCTTGTTTCTCTTCTATATGATGGAAGAGCAACCTCCGAAGAACATCCCCTCTTGAAGGAAGTCTGGCAGTCGACAGAGTTTATGTAGGTTTACCAACAAGCCACACCTCAGCAGAAGATTTAGTGGTTGCCATATTATCAATTTCTAAATTATAAATAAATAAACAATGAAAAAACAAATTTGCGAAATTTGAGAAAATCACAAAATTTTACCCATGGTTAATTCATCTTATAAAACATGGCAACCCCTAAAATTGCTTTTTTTAGTCTAATTTTTGGTACACATGATCCTAGGTGATAAAGGAACACAGGCAACCTTGAGGAGAATGTTTTTTGTGACATTTTTTTTTTCTATTACAATCTGAATCACCCTAATATATATATATATATATACATACATATATATATATATATATATATATATATATATATATATATATATATATATATATATATATATATATATATATATATATATATATATATATATATATATATATATATATATATATATATATATATATATATATATATATATATATATATATAGTTTGTTTATACCAGATCTCTCTTATAGAACTTTTATAGGATGTTAAATTCATCCTATAAAAGTTCGATAGGAGAGATCTGGTGATTGGGGATGCCAAATCATTCTATTCAATATTTGATAATTCTCTAACTCACTCAAGTAATTCTTACAAAGTTTTGAAGAATGTTTTAAATCGCTATCTTCTCAAAAAATGAATGGCTCCCCAATAATTCAATTTCCTGAAGGTATGGCATTACTTTTAAAAATGCCCTAATACACTTTTTTCATTATTTTTCCCTCTGTTTTTAATGTCACCTGTGGTATTTAGACCAAAACAGCCCAAACCACACCACTACCCCACCATGTTTCACAGTTGGCAACACACATTGTTTTATCTATTGACTAACTTTCTTCGGACAAACTTTGGACAAACTTTGGACAAACTTCAGACAAAATTTTTTGGAATCAAAGATAATTAAAGATAATAAGAGATAGATAAATTAATATAATAATAAAAAATCAGATAAAACTTTCCCCCGTTCCAAAGAACTTTTCAGTCACTGCTAGTCCATTTTTCTTGTAACTTTTGCCCTCTCCAGGCTTTTTTTATTATTTAGGGCCAAAGGAAAGGTTTCCTCACAGCTATTCAGCCAACAAGCCCTGCTTTAATTAATTACCTTTTCATAGTTGTAACAGATAATAGAGCTCCTCAACAACAATTCAATATATATATATATATTATATATATATATATATATATATATATATATATATATATATATATACACATGTGTGTGTTTATATATATACACACAACCTGTAGAGGTTATCCAAAAGTTTTTACCTTATTTTGTTGTCATAAAAAAATATTAAAAAATAACCAGATTGCCTGCTGAAGCCAAAACTCTGTTTTGATACAGTGACTTCTAGCATGTTCTACCTATTTAAGTCTTTCAATGTATGCACACTCCTTACATGTTTTACCTATTTAAGTCAGTCAATAAAAGTCAATATTACTTATTTAAGTACGCTCTGCTGCGCCAATCCCTAAATAAATCAGTCAATAAAACATAAAATAAAAAAACAAAATGAAACAAATAAAATTGAGTAATAAAAACAATATAATACAATTTTAAAAAATTAAAAACAAAAACATTCTGCATAAAAATAAAAAAAAAAGATTCACATCAACTAAGTGTTTTTGCAGTAATTTTAAAAATACTTAATTTTAAAAGTATTTGCGTTATTTTTTTAACACAGAAAATGTTGGTAAAAAGTCAAAGTAATCAAAAATAGTTTTTTTGTCAAGAATCATCTTTTACAATTGGTACTCTTAGATAGATAGATATTTTATATATGATAGATGGATAGGTACTCTATAAAATAAAATGACAAGAATATTAAAAAGTTAGAAAAACGTTTTCAAAACAATGCGTAAATGTTGAAGAAAAAAAAACTTACCGAATCTACCATTGCAATAAACATAACTGCTGTGCGAAGTTGACAACATCCATAAAAATTCTCCAAATATTTTATGCGCATGTTAGAGGTTAAATATCTTTATTCCTAATATTCCTATACATATTTATCCAAATAAGTAAATACTTTTACTCTTTTTTTAATACATTATTGTAAATTATACATTCACAAGTTAACAGCTATTAAAAGGAATCTAAACAGGAAGTTTACCAGCCATAAAGGAACATAAATTAAAACATTTAAACTAATAATTAGACTTATCCAAAAAAAAAATTTGTAACTTTAATTAAAATGTAAGAACAAAATGATTTATGAAAAGAATGGTTACACAATTATAGTAGGTAACATATACGAATCTATATACAACAGTATTAGCTGTAGTAGTGTAGTGGTAGAGCACTCGCTTCATAAGCGAGAAGCTCCGAGTTTGATCCTCACCACATCCCTGGTAGTACAGGAGTCAACTTGTTTCTCTGCACAGCGATCTTTTTCATCAAAGTTTGTGTTTCAGAGTTATAGAGTTGAGAGAGGGTTGTAAATGCAATTAAAATAGCCTCCTCAACTGTAGTGGCCATCTTGACCTAGGTCAACTAGCTTCTATTTAGTATGTCACACAAACAATTTCCCATCTAAGAAAAGACTTTTCCAATTGTAGAGTTGTAGAGTTTTTTACAAACTGAAACTCTATCCAAGACACTAAATTAATTTCCCAATTCAAAAAAAATAGCCTTAAAATTTATATTCTGGTTAACACATTGTACAATTATATATATATTATTTTATCCACATTTTTTATCCATTATTTTATCTGCATTTGCAGATTTATAAAAAAATAAAAGCTTTCCTTTAATCTTGGATAAACTTTTGAAGCTTCAGCAGTTTTACTAAATGAAAAAAACATGCTGAAAATATATGCCTCATAAAAAAAATTCTAAAAGCAGCGTTTAACTTTAATTAAGAATAAATAATAAAAACTTTTTTGTTTTGAAAACTCTTTCTAACATAGTAACAAGGATATAATTTATTATGAAGTTAGTTATAATTTATAGCATAATTTAAACTATTTAATAAATTGTTATAAAATTTTATAAATTAATGTTATTATATAATATAATAATATTAATTTATAAAATTTTATAAATTAATATTATCATGTAATTTAACAATATTAATTTATAATATTGTTAAATTATTCTATAAATTATAATTAACTTTATAATAAATTATAACCTTGTTACTAAGATAAAAAATATATAAGATAAAAAATATATAACTTTATAACTATTTATAATTGCTATAAAAATTAATATTAATAACTTTAATAATGAAACTTGTCATTATAATACCTTCAAAACAATTGCTTGGCATAGCATTAACTCCATCAATTATCAATTCATTAAATATTACCTTCCTTTGTGAATCAAGACATTTAAAAACAGAAAACAGAACCTTTTTATCCACAAAATTAAACAATTTAACCAAAATAAAAATAAACAATAAAGTTTCTGTTGTATTATTGATCTCTATCTTTATCTTGTATACACTTTTTATCTTGTGTATTTCTTTTAATTTGTTATTGCTTTTTTTCTTGGTTTAGGCTACTATATATTCTATTGAATATATAGTAGCCTTAAGCTTCCCTTTTTACTCTTCCAAATTCATTCTTATCATGATTTTATTATATATAATATAACATCTATTATTATTAGTATTATTATTATTATTGTTATTATTGCTATTATTATTAGTATTATTATTATTATTATTATTATTATTATTATTATTATTATTATTATTATTATTATTATTATTATTACTATTATTATTACTTTGTTATAACCATTTTTATTCAAATCAAAATATATTATTACTTCTTTATAAATATCTACATTTAAAGTTGAAATAAAAAACTAAAATAAAAAAATGAAAGTTTAACTTTTGCCAATGTATCAAAATCTATGGGTTTTTTTTTTTTTTTTTTTTATTAATTTGTTTAGTTTTAAAAATGCACTTATCTACCAAAGATGCCAGTACAGTTAAATAAACCTTAATAATAATATAAATACTAATAATTATATAAATCCTAATAATGATATGAATATAGGAAGAGGGATCAAGGTTTCTAGGAGGGATATGGCAGAAATATAACACAAGATAAAAAAAGTCTGCAGATTAAGCTAAAAAACAGTGGAAAGGAAAGTAAAAAGTAGTGATAAAATGCCCTTTTTCCGAAAGATACATCAATATATTTAAATTTTTTAATATTTTTTTTATAAAAATGTTCAATGTTACTTTTATATTTATAATATTATTATAAAAAATTGTCAAGTGAGGTATTTAATAATAATGTTACTGATAAGATTTATTGTAAGTGAATTTACCAAAGTGGTATTAGTAACATCACTTAAAGATCCAAAACAGAGTCTTAAATGAATTGAATAAAATTACACTTAATAGGACATTTAATTTTATTATAAGGAAATACGTCAACTATCAGTAATATCTATCTTATTTAAAATATAAAACCTTGTACTATCTTATTTAAACTATCTTATTTAAAATATAAAACCTTGTACGTACAGGAATACAGGAAAAGCACAATATAAAAATATTTTTTAAAATTTTCAAATATAGCAAGTTAAATATACTTTCTATATATGATTATTTCTCTAACAAACGCCTTGTAAACACATAAATACCAGTACATGTTATTGATCTGATAGCTATTAGAGACGCTTGACATTAGTTAATTTTTCACTCTAAATTTTTTTGTTTTTTGTCGCGACGAGAAATTTTTTAATAAATTAACCGATTTGATTTTCTTTGTTAACACAGCAAATTTAATAGATATTTATCGACAACTAAGAATAAGCAAACAAACACTTATGTGAAATTTAAAATCAATTCACGGATTATTTTATTCCTCAAGAACTATTTAGAAATGAAATTTAAACACTATTTGATACATAATTCGATAGTATTTTTATATAATTCGAAAGTAATTAATAAAAATATTTGCGCCAAGCTTATAGATTGGAAGACCCTGTAAGTAGGCTTGAAACTTAAAAAGAAGAAATTCAAAATATGTATTTTTAAAAGTTGAATTTCAAATTAGGGAAAATCCATATATTCCGTTGGAGGGGGTGATTAGTTCAGAAGCCACTGGATCGTTTATTGTTACATAATAGACCCAGGGCCGGGTTCAAGGATTTTTTTTTGGATATGCGAGATCACGGTTTAGCGTTCCCTATTATAAAAAAAGTTGATTGATTATTATTATTATTATTATTTTTATTTGCCAGAATATGTACAAGGTAAATTTACATTGAATATATTACCGGCAGGACTTCTAGAAGATCACAGGATCTTATCATGAAGCCCTTTACAATCTATATAACAAAAAGAATACAATATTCTAATATTCTTCACAGTCTATATAATAAACAAATTAAAGTATAAATCAAAATAAATAAAAAAAAACAACTTAAATACTAAAAATAGATATAAATATTTTGTGTTGAAAAGATAATTTCTTTTACTTTCCGTTTAAAAGAAGAATAAGACCATTTAAAAGAAAAATCGAAATTAGGTAAAATTATTTTATTCCAAAAAGAAGGACCACGATAAGAAATACAAAACTGGTCAAATTTAGTTTGGCAAAATGGCTTTTCGATACTTTTACTGGCACGAAGATTATATTTGTTTTTAGGTTTCAAATTATAAAGATTTATAAATGTATTAGGTGATATATTTTCTTTACATTTAAACATAAAACATAAAATATTCAAAACATTTAGTTCGTAAATATTCAAAATTTTCATTTCTTTAAGAAGTAGTGTTGAGCTCGAAAAACGATTCGCAAAATTAATTGTGCGAGCTGCGTGTTTCTGATGTTGATAGAGAGATTTAAGTTTGGTTTTGTGAGCGCTTCCCCATATTATATTTGCATAATTTAAATGGCAATGAATAAATGAATAATATAGTTGTGTTAATTGATGTTTATTTAATATATGTCTAATTTTTTTCATATATCATAACTCCTAAGAATTTTGTATTTTTTTCTCTTTTTATTACTGTACTGTCAATATATAAGTCAGGCGAGATATTTTGAATTTTCTTTTTTTTAGAAGTTGGATGAAAAAGTATCCATTTTGTTTTATCGGTATTTAAAGACAACCTATTTTTTTTGAACCAATATGAAATATTTTTAAGTTCCTCAGTCATATTGTTAAAGAGTATTTTAATGTCTTCGTTTGACTGAAATAAATCGTCAGCAAAAATTATAGTCGCTAAATTAGAAGTTTTGTAAAGATCATTTATGTATATTAAAAATAAGAGTGGCCCAAGTATGGATCCTTGGGGAACACCACATGTTGCGTTCGTTAAAAATTGAGGCGAAGATTCTTTGTTATAAACAAATTGTTTACGGTTACTTAGATAACTTTCAAACCAGTTTAGGGTTACATCTCTTATACCATAGCTTTCTAGCTTTTTCAATAAAATATGGTGATTAACAGTGTCAAAAGCTTTTGAAAAATCAATAAATATGCCAAGTGTAAATTGAGAATTTTTAAAAGAGTCGGCAATACTGCGCGTTACTTGGAGAATAGCGTGTTCAGTTGAACTTTTTCTTTGAAAACCAAACTGATTTTTATAAAGAAGTTTATTGTCAATAAGATAAGTGTACAATCTATTGTACATTATTTTTTCTAATATTTTTGAAAAGACTGGTAGAACTGAGATAGGACGATAATTTGTTACGTTTGTAGGGTCGCCTGTTTTACAGATTGGAGTTATTTTTGCTATTTTCAAGCTATCTGAAAAAGATCTTTGAGTAATAGATGCTTTAAAAATTTTAAAGAGTATATCTATAATCGAATCAAAAGAGTCGATTATAATGTTCCCATTTATATCATCAGGCCTAGTTGCTTTATTTCTTTTTATTGCTTTATATGCTATTTTAAATTCACTAAATGTTAGATTTGAAAAGTTCAGAGTTGAATTTGTTAATAAAATAAATTCATCAACGGAGTTATTGTCTACATAAGGAATTTTATTTGATAGACTTTGTCCTATTGTTGAAAAAAAGTAAATTTTTTTGGCTTTTTTGCGGAGTTTTTCAAATAAATTTTTATAGACTGTGAAAGTGA